GTTGTGACCCTCATTAGGATCAACTTACAACATTTTACAATGAAGTTTCCCTTAATATTAGAGATTTTACCCTTAAAACTGTGTTTCTTTCTTTATGCACCTTGCAAGTAGGCAAAGCTGTGTCAGAAACCCCTTCTTTATAATTGACAATCATCAGATGACTCATTACCTAATACTCAAATCAGTAACAAGACCAAACATATGTAACAGCGATTTTATTTTATGTCATTTGTTTTTATGTAACTCTGTTCATAACAACGTCAGTAGAACCAAAACATTATGTCACCCCCTCGTCTGCCATTTAATTCTTCCGGAGTAGATATGTTAACTCCAGATGTCACTCTGGATGCAAAAGAAGCCATCAGTCATGTATGATATGTAAACAGCTCAAAAACATGGGGGATACCAGACAGTGTCATACGGCAGTCTCATTATATCCTACAAAAATACAAGTGCCCCTGTGCAAAGGTTTGGCAGAATAGAGGTGCATTCATCTTTTGGCTGTTTGCTAACAGCCTGGTAGGTATCCTTCTGCCAAATTCTTTTAGCCAAATTCAAGTGTGCCTCAGAACTGGCTGTTGTCAAGGCTGCCTGTCTGGTGGGAAGGAAGCAACTGGCGTCAGGAAAACAATGGAAGTGGCTCCATCCAGCCTTCAAACTCTAAGGAGAAGATGGCATGAGATTTACAGAATGATGAAGACTCTTCCTTCCCAGGGGTAATATCTCCATGCCGGATATTGGCTTTGTGTCCCTGCCGCTAAAGAGTTTCTTAAGCATTGGTCCCCTCAGCTTATTATTAAATAGATATTGAGATCTAAACACCAATATGAGCTGAAGCTTGATATTGTGTATTTGTGTTTTTCATGAGACTGTCCTTCTTAGTCAATATGAGTATTGCAGTTTTGTGTACACTGGAGATTTGATGTGTTGTCAAGAGGAGATAAATGGACAGTGGGATGGTTAGTTTATCTCAATCAATATCTTTTCAGATATTTGAATCTAAGAAGAGCCAAATATAGTCATGTAGTATGTGCCCCTGATCTTGTCAGATCATTCATTATAGTGAGTATGCAAAATATGTATTAGTACTTAGGGCTGTTATAGTAAATGGAATTGTTTGCTAATTTCTAAAATAGATACAAATACAGGATATTTTCTTTGTGTGATTGTTGTTGTTCTATGATGATGACATCCATGTTTTTTTTACATGTACTGTAAGCCCATGTAAGCTGGGTATTTTGTATGTATGACACTAAACTAAACTTTCAACCACATAGAATAACTCAACAGTCAACAGTTTCCAATGTAATTGGCCTCTTTGACACGTCCATTCGAATCATATTCCAGCATTTGAGGCCCACTTAGAGCAAGGGTCAAACTTTGAGTCTAACAAGCACCCTATTTAATTCAATCCAGCTTTCTGCATTGAAAGTCCAAGAGACAAGGAAAAGTAGTATGTTTTTTTCTCAGTTCTTTGACATATGAAATCAATTCAAGGAATACCATCTAGAAGTATTTGAAGAAGTGTTACTGTTAAAGACATTATTTTGCATTACATAAAGTGCATTTCAATCTACCTGTTTTTATGTATATTTACATTTTTGTCTAAAATAGCCTAAGAAACAGTAGAAATACACAAGGAATGGTGGCAGACCAACACATCATATCTGTGTAGACTGATGAGCAGATTGCAACCTTCCTCAAACTAATGCATAAAGCAAACATTAATGCCATTTCTGTCATGTTTTTTACATGTTTTTTCTTTGTCTGAAGTTTGACTGGTGCTCTTTTAAGTACGTTATCTTGTTACGCCATTTTCCTCTCTAATGGTTTGATGGGATGGGTTCAAGTAGTGCAGTGGTGAATGTAAATGTGTATTAATTTGCATTTTCTTTGCAGATTTTCTTGAAATGTGGTTGAACTATTTGCTAAATTTGGATGGAAACTTGACTATAGTCAGTCAAATTTAATTCTACAACCATATTGTACTTCAACTGCAGTCAGGCTTGGTCACTCTGCTGCTGATGAGACGGATGGCTTTGGTCTACAGACCTCCATGATAATAATGTTTGAGCTCACCTCCAGCAGGCTCCCAGGATGAATGTTTGCTGGGGATATTAAGAGTGAAGGCAGGACAGCAGAAGATGGCTCCTTTGAATATGAGAGTGAAGAATGAAAGACAGGCTACCAAACTGGTGATGGTGCAATCGCTATGAAAGCTATGAAATAGGGTAAAAAGACACAGATGAGAATTTTTTGGAGCATTTCTCCTCAGGATTAGGATAATTAAAGATGAGCATCAAACATTATGCCAAATTTATTTCAGCTTGAACCATACACCATGTTTACTCACTGTAGTTTAGAAACACAGCTGTTTGGCTTTTTAATATCTCTCCTAGAAAGATAGACGACCTCTCAGCAATGCATTTATTATTTTTTATAAATTGATGGTTATATTTAATGTGATGATATTTTAATTCTCCATTTACATATTTCTGCAGTGGTTCTTCAACTTTCTAGCATATTTCAGTCTTGCTGCTAGGCATGATGGGTATAAATAGAAACAAAAAACATAAAATTTACAGCGGTATCATGATGAAAACTGCTTTGGTTGATTTCAGGGCATTCCCTGCATGTGAGTGCAATGACATCTTGTTTTCAGGCCTCCTACAGTGAAGCTTAGCTGTGGGGCCCTCACTCCCCATCACTCAGTGTAAAATGTCTGTTCTTGACCCCACGACTATAAAAATAGACACATCTGTAGGCCCTCTTCACTTAGCTTATTGGGTGTCAATGACTGCCAGTGGTATCCCCAGCCATTTGAAGTCTATTTTAAGACCATATATCCCAATAGGCTGACGGTGAGGTGTTTGTTTTTCAAATCCACATGACTGTTGCACATTCATGAAACACCTTTTCGGTAAAAGCACAGAGTTGGCTTTCAAAGCCCTCCTGCTGTCTACTGGTAAATATCAGCCTCTAATTAGCGGCTGTTTATATCTTTTGCGGTATCATCTTTTGGAAGACAGCCGGCCAGCTCTCATACTGATTTTCTGCCATTAGCAATCAATGGACAAAACTTCCACTGTCCTCTCTCTGTCTCTTTCTCTCTCTCTCTCTATCTCTCTCTCTGTGTATGTTTCTATCCAGAGAAAATAAAATAAATATTGGAAAATGTGGCTGTCTTCCACATTTGGCAGCACAATTGTGTTTTTCAAATTGTGACTTTTTATACAATTACATACAATTTATATATATATAAAAAAAGTACTTGAAATCTTAACTTGAGTTATGGCTGAAGTTTGCTTCATTACATTGTAGTTCTCAGTCCTGCTACTGGCATACAAATTTTATACCCCCTACTATGGTGTGATATTGGTCACCCCACTTACATCTAATTTAGGTCTATAACAAGTCATCTCTCTGAGGTGCCCCTGGCTTCCTTACTCCCAATAATATCCCTAGATTGCTCTTTAACTGCAGTATACTTGCAAGGCCCTATTAAGAAACACTATGAAGCCAGTATACAATATAGCTTTGTCCATGTTGGAGTCGGACTTGTGAAGGATTACCTTTCTCCAAGATTAAATTTCCTGTGGAAGAAATACAAGTATTGCATACAATCTCAAGTCCCCCCCTTGTTTTACATGTTACATGTTACTGGGTTAGAAATACAGACAGCTGTATTAATGTGTTTCTACCGTTTCTTCACATGGTTGAACTGTCAAAGATTGTGTAAAGAATACCCACTGTAGTTAGGTTCTCATTTGTGAGTATGTAGGGATAGGTATAAATAGTTGTCATGACCTTCTTCTCATTCATATAGCTTGTTTGTCCTTTGAACCCAATAAAGTGGCCCAACATATGTTGTTTATGTATTGCTGCTTCATGGCGTGCCATCTGCTGCCTGCAAATGAGACCACCAATTTCTGTCACAATTACTGTAAGACTTATTAACATTTTAAAATAGAGGACTGAGGTTGGGTTGAAGCCAATCTTTCATTATAAAAAATGAAACTCAAACTTACTGATTGTAGTCTTCTTTGTTTCTGCCTAAATTTACACCAACTGAACTCCTAAGGTACTGAAGAGGAGGAGAATTGGAATCACAAACTAAAAGTACATTTTTGTGTTAGAATTGATTTTGGAAAGAAGAAGCAAGGCAATGGGCTTTTTAGTAAGTGCCCTATCTGTCAATTATCGATGAGATTATACTTGTTTTTCCTGATTCATGAGATCACCTCTGGTCGAAAATGAGCATTTCTTTTCTTTCTCACTGCCACAACTCGACACTTTCTTCTAGAAAAAAAATGTAAGCAAAAATAAGACTTTGGCTTTATCAACTTAAATCATAATCTTTGCCATGCATAATTGGCATATGTTGTTCATATTTCTAAATTTACATTGTGGTGGAATCAAAGACACCTGTTATTACAGCCATCAACATGAGGGTTGTTTAAGATAAGGTCAAGTAATAATACAGACACAATTATTAGGGTGGGAAAGGTTTTCTCAGTTCAGCAAAAGGGTGGATTTCAAGGTGAATAGTTTAATTACAGTTAGTGGCCTATTATGGGCTATCATACCGCCTCTCTGGAGTACCACCCTACTTCTTTTCACTTAATAGCGGACATTGGGAATTTATTGGTTCTGAACTGTATTAATTAATGGCTACTGGTTAACCACTGTGAAAGTCCTGCCTTTGGGCGGAAGGAGTTTATTTAAAACTTCAGCTAATAATTTGACGCTAATACTGGACATCTTTGTTAAAAAATTGACCCACTAATTTAATTTTCCTGGAAGCCTCATTCATATGTCTTCATGGACTCATTAGACACATCACATTGTAGCAAGCACAGTGGCTAGGATACACTGGTTAGATCACTTGTATGTCATATGATGTTTTCTCATCCACTTATACAGTATTTATTGGTGCACTTGTCTTCACAGCAGATGTTTTTATGCTTATGGACACTAATGCCATGATATTTCTTTTTCAGTGATCTGCCATTTGGAAAGGAAGACTGGAGGAAACTCCTCTAACTGGAGATATTGTAAGTGTCTGGCCAATAGCCTCTTCATTTCATTTATTATATGACCTGTGTATGTAATAGACAGTATAATGAAGCCCATTTACAGCATACTATAGAATCCCAAATCCCAATTTTCCCCCAATTGTGTAATCTGCAAAAGTGGCCTAATTATATTTACTGCAAAGGACATCTTACCTTCCTGTTATACCCTGTCGCATACACACAATATCAATCAAATCAGTAAATCCAGCAGGGAGTCAGGATGCCTGATGGCCGCTGGTCTCATTTAAGATGCAGACATTGTCCTGTTGCTTCCTTTAATGAGATCTGGAGGCGTGCAATCTAATATTCACCACTGAGGCTCCAACATGGCCCCCGAGCCTGTAGCCCAGAAGGCTGTGTGCTAATTCAATGGAGTGAAGTTAGCTGTGATCAGAAGGACTGGAGTGGCCATTCCGTCAAGAGGATGAGAGGCATTAGTCTTTTCTATACATGATGTACTAATAGTTCACATTTGTGTTCATTCTTTCATTTTGGTATAATGGACTTTGAAAAGAGAACTGCTTTGGGGTCGAAAGGCCAACACAGGTGTGACAATGAAGGAGCATAAATCCTTCATATAAATAACAAATACAAATGGAGAGGGCACATTTTCACATGTAAGTTCTCCCAGAGCACACTTACCACACGTACCTGTGTGCCATTTTTTCTTAGGTTACATTAATGTTGATGGTATACTCAAAGGTAAATATAACACATTTCAGACATAGAAGTCTGCAGGTCTTATAACATAGTTCCACTTCTGAAGACCTCAAAGGCACAATGAAAACAAAATCAGTCTACATCTACCTCAGAATTTTTTACTCAAAAAGTTGGCACTTGAATTCCTTTTGTCAAACAAAGCCCAGGGCAAATTACTTTTTTGTTAATGATTTGTGTCCACTGTCATACATCATAAATAGTGTTGCATGTCTTTGATGAAGCTTTATTAATACAGTTTTCGCAGTTTTTTTGTATGCAATTGAGTTTTATACCACATAGTTAGGCCAACTTGCTAAGTCAGAATACTCAGTATAGACAGTATTTTTTGCAACCCAGTGACCAATACACTGGTTGATAGTTTTTGCTTTTTTACACTAGACTTCAGTCAGCTTTGCTTTCGATGAAGTGATGGGTTTACACTGTGTTTAAAAAGCACTAGAAAGGAAAAGTCTTCAGAATGGTCTAAATTTGACAATTTGGCAACAGTAAGTTAATTGGCTCCATCTATTACCCAATAAGATTAATTCTGTCTTCATAGCAGCACTGCCTCCTAATTCCAATCTATCTATCTCCACCTTCTACTTTAAGCTACCAATATGGTGCACCTCAAAGAGCTATAACTTCACATATGGGGATTTATGAGCACCAATAAATACTTTAGCTGTTAAGTTGCTTGATAATTCTCTTTTTATGCAGGGTAGTTGTTAGTGTTAAGCCAGTGTTTACTTGGTCCCTGGTTAGAGGCATAGATTTGCAGAAATTACTAATTAGCACTGTCTGATTTGACATAGTGGAGCACCCACTCCTCTCTCGATGATGAAGCTCCCTGCGTCTGTCCCAGCTGTCACCAGTGATTGATGCACTGTGCACTTCCCACCTTCACTTGCCAGTGTTCACTGCTGTTTACGCCTCATACCTGATCTCACATCCAGAAATGTCTCAGCCTCCTCCCATTAGCAGGCATATTAATCACCCTTCATGGCATATGATTGTGTTAAAATCCCTGTGTAGCATGGCTCCACATTTTGCCCGAGGGAAGTCGTTGCGTAGAGCCTTTATTCCTCCTTCAAACGTGCTTCATGTTCAGCAACCACTGATAATCCCCAGAAAGAATAGTTTTCCTACTGTACCACTAATCCCCTGAGCTCCCTGTGGGCCACAATAAAAGCAAAGAAAAAGAAAATGCTTTGACCAAATTATCCATGTGATAAAAGACAAGCCTTAAGTGCTTCCACCATCACAATTTTGTTGTTCTGCAGAGCTGATTTTTAGTCCCATCACTTATAGTAAACATAATTATAGGGGAATTTTTAAAAGACTTATGTTCCATTTAGTAATTTGCTATTGTTTTGGCAGCAGCTTCTGTTAGTGTCTGCTAATTTTCAGGTGTTTTATAGAGTTTGGAAATGTCAGGAGGTTACAGAGCTGTCTGGGTCAGTGTGCAAATAGCTGCTGCAGAGTACACTTACCCATATTTAAGTGCTAAATGTGTGGTATTCTGAAAAATTGCAGAAAAACATACAGTATCCACCTGAGCCACATGGAAAGTTTTTCCAATTTTGGTTTTGCTATAATTGTTGACACATCCAAATATTCAAGTATGTGGAATGTTTTCCTTTGGCTATTATCCTTACAGCTAATACTTACAGAAGTGATGAATCCGTCGGTGAATGTCAACTCATGGGGACTGACAACCGCCTCATTCGATTCATAAGCTCTCACTTAGCCAGGTCTCCCTCTGAGAGTGTGAGTGGGCTTTAAACTTAGTGCTGCAAAGTAATTATGTAGTGCAAAGCAGAAATGTACTAATCTGACATTATATTTTACTGTTCAGAGATGTAAAACAACAAGCATGTGAGGGCTTATGATGACATGACAGGGTGATTAATGACTGACAAGATGTTATTCAGTCTGTGTGATAAACTACAACTCTAACCAACTACACAGTTTTAAAGGAGAATCATTGTTTTAGCACTGTCGAATTTCATGGATAGTGTAGGGAAACAGTTCAAGATCTCCATCAAATTACAAATATTGAATGGCTGTAGTGTCGGAGTTGAAGGAAGAAGCTATATCCTACCCATTGTTCGCGCAATTGCACGATTTCTTTTCTATCTGCTTATTATGCAGATAATTGAAAAACGTATGTAACATTTAGGATTTAGTAACAAGCATTACATACAAATGTATTTTGAATACAGTAATGCATTACTCTGTTATGTTTTACATCCAACTTTGATCCTCACAGAGCTGCTAGCATACCTGTAGAATGTTAGTCTTGTTGTTTCTTCCTTGCTCAATGAGATAACACCAGTGTGGACTTCATTACTTCAGGATGAATAATGACAAGTGTCACATCTTGGTATTTATTTAACTGATGCACATGGTAGATGTTGATAAAGATGATGGTACTCTCTGTTGGGTTTAACCTTATTTATACGTGTGAAGAAAGGCCCAAAGATCTAATCAGAGGTGACCGATAAGTCCCTAATTAAAAAATTGCAAGCTTCAGCAAAACCTAATCGTGTTCTTGTTTAGTAGCAAAGTTAATTATTTACCTTCAAAATCAGGCCAAACCAAGTGCAGTAAAGGTGAAGGGTATTAATGGAGTTAAAGCAGTTTTTATCTCACCATTACTAGCTTCATAAGTACGATAATATTTTCCAGCACAGACTAGACCTCTATCAGTGACACTCTCATTCAGTCTTCTGGCTTGTCATTGCCAGCACAAAATGAAATCCTCCTTCTCCACTGTCAAGGTTAGTATTCAGCCATGTTTCCTTTTCAAACAGGACAGACAGCACTCCCGGTATCCCTTTTTAATCTCGCTGTGCTGCTATTTCATTTCCGGCATTGTTCATTGAATAAGTCTGAGCCTGCTATCCGAAATTGGTGGGGTGACACCAGGCAGTCACAATTTCATGTCACTTGCAGACAAAAACTGTAGTTCTTTAATCGATGTCTTATAATCCATATTATGAAGTTAAAACCTTAATAAGTTAATACGTAATGCCTTTTTACTGGGGAAAAGGGAAATAAGGTTTTTAGACAGGTTTGTTGACTGGTTTCATTTTGAAATGACAGAAAAGATATTTGTTAAATATGTTAAATAATAAAATAGATTATCAGCAAAGTTTTAAGCAATACCCCAATTAAGTCAAATTTATTTTCAAAGTGTACTTTGGTGTGTACTGTGTTATAACAATGGGTAGAAAGCACAAATGCAGCAACCAATGTCTGCCTGAAACATTATCAGCACCCAGAAAATGCACTGAAATGTGTTTGTGATATAGAGCAGTACATACATTTGTAAGCAGCATTAAATATGTACAGCAGTTTTTCCTTGGTGACTGTGGTGCGTGCTGGAGGCTGCCACGCAGTGTTTAGTAACCATCGGATGGGGTGGCTGGTCTCTGTCAGTGCAACTCTATGATCCTTACATAGTGAGAGAAAAACAGTCCCCTCTGGATAAGCTTTAAGAGAAGACAACACATGGGAGAAGATGGCCTGGCGTGTTCAAAATGGCCACAGGGAAGCCATTTCCCACAATGCTCCAATTCCCCTGGCTCCTTGGTGTCGATCTGTCCTTTGTGAGCCAGAGTGTCTGAGACACATTGCGGTCACCATGGGCTGGAGGAGATATGACAAATACAAAAGACAGACCCTGTTTGCTCCTTTCCGCTGAGAGGAGAATGCGAGCCTCATTGATATTGTATGAGCTTAGCTGGCTTCTGGTTTCTTCTGGCTGTCAAATTCATTAGTTAAGTTTCACGCAATTAGCATAAACCTGTAATAAGAGAGAAAAACAGCTGCACTCTAATAAAACAATATATTTACTGTATTTGCAGAGCAGCATGTCTTGTTTTGATTATGAGGAACGGTGCAATACATGTGATAATCAATGTTTTAGGTGCTGTGCTGAACAGCAGGGTTAATTCAAAAGTAATTTAAATGTCATTTAGATTAAAACTGTAAAAATTTAATTAAATTACTGAGATCCTTTCCAAGCTTTGTATTAAAGTAAGATGAGTGACTGTGCAGTGTAACAAAACCAATGACCAACACGTATATTTAAACTCAGGCTTCAACATGTTCTATGTCTTCAGAGACAGACTTCAAACTTTTGAATTAGTCAATTTTCTGTTCATGTCCAGGCAGGAATAGAAAAGCAACAGTGTAAAAGGGCACAGTCAGCTCCTGGTGTGTGTCAAATTGAAAGCAAGTTTTCTTCTGCCTTGAATTTACCACTGAAAGATAGC